CTGATTCTATAGGGACTGTTGGCAGAATTGGACTTGGGTCTGTAATTCTGAATTCTACATGAGCTGTTGAAAGTAGCAGACTTGAGTATGAAATGCTGAACCCTAAATGACCTTTTGGAACGAGCAGAATAAGATCTGTCGTACTGAACTCCACAAGGCCTGTTGGGTGTTCTAGTGTTGGGTCTGTAAAATAAATTCTCTGTGGCCTGTTGGAAGGTGTGTATTGATTGTGTAATATGAGCTCTACATGCCATGTTGAAATAGCAATGGTTGGTCTATAATATTGAAATCCAAATTTTCTGTTTGGAAGGACTGTACTTGGGTGGGTAATACAGAATTCCAAATGGCCTGTTGGAAGGAGCAGACTTGTTCTGTAATAATGAAATCTACATGAACTGTTGGAAGGAGTGGACTTGGGTCTGCAGTGATGAACTCTACATGGCCTGTTGGAAAAGTCGACTTTGGTCTATAATGCTGAACCCTACATGGCCTGCAGGAAGGAGTGAGGCTTAGGTCTGTAATGGATTGTTGGAAGAAACAGACTTCGTTATGTAATGCTGAATTCTACATGGACTAATCGAAGGAGCATGCCTGGGTATGTAATACTGAATTCTAAATGAGCTCTGGAAGTAGCATTCTTTGGTCTGTAATTGTGAACTATATATGGCCAATTGGAAGCAACAGTCTTGGATCTGAAATTCTGAACTGTACATGGCTTGTTGAAAGGAGTGTCATATGATATTTCATGTAGAATTGAACATGGCTTTTTGAAGGATTATATTTGGATCTATCATGCTGAATTCTACATGTCTCGTTGGAAGGTGTCTAGTTGGGTCTGTCATGTTCAGGTCTGTAGTAATGAATTCTACATCGTCAATTGGAAGGAACCAATTTGGTTGTGTAATTCTGAATTCTACATGGCTAGTTGGAAACAGGAGACTTAGGTCAGTTATACTGAAATCTGCATGGCCTCTTGGAAAGAATAGACTTGAGTCTATAGCACTGTTGGAAAGAATATTGGAAGGAATCCAACCCAACCAATTACTGCCCCATCAATCTACTCTCGATCTTCAGGAAAGAAGATGTCACCAATAGTGCTATCAAGCAGCACCTGCTCAGCAATAACCTGCTCAGTGACCCCCAGTTTGGGTTCCACCAGGGCCACTCAGTTCCTGACCTCATTGTAACCTTGGTTCAAAAATAGACAAAAGAGCTGAATTCCATGAGTGAGGTGAGAGTGACAGCCTTTGACGTCAAGGCTGCATTCGACTGAGCGTGGCATCAAGGAGCCGTAGCAAAACTGGAATCAATGGATATCAGCGGCAAACTCTCTGGTGGTTGGAGTCATACCTGCCACATGGGAAGATTGTTGTGGTTGTTACAGGTCAGTCATCTGAGCTCCAGGATATCTCTGCAGGAGTTCCTCAGTGTCCCATCCTAAGCCCAACAATCTTCAACTGCTTCATCAGTGACCTTGCCTCCATCATAAGGTCAAAAATGGGGATGTTCGCCAATGATTGCACAATGTTCAGCACTATTCACAACTCCTCAGATACTGAAGCAATCCATGTTCAAATGCAACAAGATCTGGACAATATCCAGGACTGACAATGGTAAATAACATCCACGCCACACAAATGCTGTGCTACGACTGTCACCAACAAAGACAATCTAAATACCACCCCTTTGACATTCAATGGTGTTACCATCACTGAATCTCCCAGTATAAACATCCTGGAGGTCATCATTGACCAGAAACTCAGTTGGACTCATCACATAAACACGGTAGCTGCAAGAGCAGGTCAAGGGTAGAAACACTGCAGCGAGTAACCCACCTCCTGACTCCCCAAAGCTCTCCACCATCTACAAGGAACAAGTTAGAAGTGTGATGGAATGCTCCCCACTTGTCTGGATGAGTGCAGCTGTAACAATACTCAAGAAGCTCAACGCCATCTAGGACAAATAAATCACTTGATTGGCACTACATCCACAAGCATCCACTCTCTCCGCCACCAACACTCAGTAGCAGCAATGTGTACTATCTACAAGATGTACGGCAGAAATTCACCAAAGGTCCTCAGTCAGCATCTTCCAAACCCACAACCACTTCCATCTAGAAGGACAAGGGCAGCAGATACATGGAACACCATCACCTTCAAGATCCCCTCCAAGCCACTCACAATCCTGACTTGGAAATATATTGTTGTTCCTTCACTGTTGCTGGGTTAAAATTCTGGAATTATCTCCCTAATGGCATTGTGGAGCAATGCACAGTGGATCATGAAGGCAGCTGACCACCACCTTCTCAAGGGCGACTTGGAATGGGCAATAAATGCTGGACAGCCAGTGACGCCCACATCCCACAGATTAATTTTTAAAAATGTGCTTATGTCTATAGTGCTAAATTCTACATGGTCTGTTGGTAGGAGCAGACTTCAGTCTGTAATATGGAAGTTTAGGTGGCCTGTTGGAAGGAACAGGCACGTGTTTCCGATACCTAACTCTAAAGGGATTGTTTGAAGGAGTGGTCTTTGATCTGTTGTACTGAACTCTGCATGTACTGTTGGAAGGACCATGGCTGGGTCTGTAATACTGAACTCTACATGGTCTGTAGGAAGGAGAAGGCTCAGGTCATTAATACCTAATTCTATATGGACTGTTATAAAGCACAGACTTGTTTGAGTAATTCTGAATTTTACACGGACTGTTTGAAGAAGCATACCTGGGTCTGTAATACTGAATTCTAAATGGCTTGTTGGAAGGAGCATACTTGGGTTTGTAATACAGAATTCTAAATGGGCTATTGGAAGGAGAATTTTGAGATCTGTGAGACAGAATTCTAAATGACTTGTTGGAAGGATCAGACTCTGGTTTATAATATTGAACTCTGAATGGCCAGTTAGAAGGTGCAGACTTGGGTATGTAATACTGAGCTGTAATACTGTCATGCTGGAAGTAGCAGATTTTTTTCTGTAATACTGAAATCCACATTTTCTTTTAGAAGGAGCATACTGGATGTGAATACTGAATTCTAGATGGCCTGGTGGAAGGAGCACACTTTGGTCTGTCATACTGAATCCTATGTGGTCTGTGGAAGTTGAAGTCATTGGTCAGTACTAATGAATCCTACACGTTAAGATGGAGCAGACCTGGGGCATTTACACTGAATTCTGCCTGGACATTGGGGAGGTGATGTCCTAGTGGTATTATCACTGAACTGTTAATCCAGAAACCCTTATAATGTTCTGGGGACCAGGATTTGCATCCCGCCAAGGCATATGGTGGAATTTGAAAACAATTTTAAATAAACTCTGGAATCAAGAGTCTAACGCTGACCATGAATCCATTGTTGATTGTCGGAAAAAACCGGTCTGGTTCACTAATGCCCTTTAGTGAAGGAAGCTGTCATCCTTACCTGGTCTAGCCTACATGTGACTCCAGACTCACAGCCCTCAGGGCAATAAATGCTGGTCTAGCCAGCGAGCTCTCATCCTGTAAACGAATTTTAAACATTGTTGGAAGGAATGTATAGGGGCTATAACGCTGAATTCTACATTGTCTATTGGAAGGAGCAGATTGGGTCCAAAGTTCTGAATTCTACATGGACTGTAGGAAGGACCATAGTTGGGTCTGTAATGCAGAATTCCACATGGCTTGTTGGAAAAGTAGACTTTGGTGTATAGTCCTGCACCTTACGTGGCCTGTAGAAAGTGCAGACTCAGGTCAGTAAAACCGAATTCTATATGGTCTGTTAGAAGGAGTGTACGTGGAACTATAATATGAATTTTAAATGGCCTGTTGGAAGGAATAGGCATGTATTACTAAAACTTAATTCTACATAGACTGTTAGTAGGAGCATACTTGGGTGCAGAATTCTACATGACATTTTGGAATGAGCAGATTCCTGTCTCATGCTGAATTCTACGTGGCCTGTTGGAATAAGCATACTTGGGGCTGTAATACTGAATTCTGCACGGACTATCGGAAGTAGCAGAGTTAGGTCTGTAATACTGAACACTGAAAGATCTATTGGAATGAGCAGACCTGGGTCTATAACACTGAATTCTTGATGGACTTTTGGAAGGAGCAGACTTAGGTCTGCATGTCCTGTTTGAAGTATTGGTCTTGTGTCTGTAACACTGAATTCTCTGGCCTCTTATAAGGACTGTACTTGGATCTGTGATCTGAACTCTACATCAATTATTAGAAGGAAGAGACCTGGGACTCTTACACTGAATTCTATGTAGCCTGTTGTAAGGAACATACTTGAGTCTTTGGTCTGTAACATGGAATTCTAAATAGCCTGTTGGAAGGAGTCTACTTCTGTCTGTAATTTTGCAATGCCTGTTAGAAGGAGAGTACTTTGGTCTGTAACATGGAATTCTACATAGCCTGTTGGAAGTACCAGATTTGTAATGCTGAATTCTACATGGCCTATTGGAAGGAGTGTACTTGAATCTGTAATACTGAATTCTATGTGGTCGGTTGGTAGGTGCACACTTGTGTCTGTAATGTGGAATTCTGCAAGGCTTGATGAAATGAGTGTAGTTTAGTCTTTAATGCTGAATTCTACATAACCTGTTGGAAGGAATGTACTGGGGTCAGTAATGCTGAATTCTACATAGACTGTTGGAAGGAGCAGACTTGGGCCCATTATATTGAATTGAACATGTCCTGTTGGTAGGTGCGTACTTTGGTCTGGAATACTGTATTCTATATGGCCTATTGAAAGGAGCAGACCTATTCTCATTCTGCATGAAATGGGTCTTCAGTAAAATATCCACATTGACAAGTGAGTTGTCATAAATGGTTTGAATTAATATTTTAAAACACTTCATATCTCCAACAAACCAACTTACAATCATTATCTCAGAGCCTTTGCATTGAATGATACTGTGCTACAATGTCAACTCAGAACAGTTGACTCAACTGTAGCATTACTGTTCAGGCCTTGCCTAAAAGTCCTTTGATTTTACTTTCTTGGATTGTCTCTTGCATAGGTTTCAGAGATGAAGACTATGGTGACCGGTCTATGGTTGGATTTGGAGGAAGTAGGTCCAGAGGTGCTCGCCTTGGAGACAGACGAGGAGGCCGGTCTAGAGATGGACCCTCTCATGGCTCCTGTATGGAATTCAGAGAGGCAACAGAAGGTACTCATTTATTCAATTATGTTTGGTACATTTACCTTATTTTGTATTTATGATCAGGTTCCTGTTCATTAAAATTCTTTAATATTGGGAGTATGGTTGGCAGGTATTGCATGCGCACAGTTGCTCAAAGAAATATTTTACTTTATATATAGTGATATTAATATTCTTTTGTGATGTTCTGGTCATGGCCCCACCCACAGTCTTTGTCACTCAGCCCTTGATAGTTCTGCTGGTTGCCCGTTCCCTGTACACTGCACAAAAATGCCACTAGTTGATGAAAGGACAGCCTTATAAATTACAAACACAGACATAGAAATTGCTGGAAAAGCTCAGCAGGTCTGGCAGCATCTGTGGAGAGAAGTTATAAATTACCTTATAAATTACCGTTGGCCTGTTGGAAGGAACAAGTTTGAACCTGTAAATTACCTTATCAAAATCTCTCCTAATTCTAAACATATAACTCTGACATCCTTTAACATTTTGTCTAGTGAAAAGTGACCAAGTTTTTAATCTCTTTTTAAACTAAAACTGTCATGCATATTGTTTTATGATTTCTCAGAATTTTGATGTTTGACTGAAGTGGGTTACGTACAAGTGGGCAAAAGTTTAAAGCAGTTGCTGGGAATCTGTAACAAAAACAGATAATGCTGGAAATACTCAACAGTGAAAGCAACTGTCTTTCATAGGTTCATCAAATAAATGGAACAGAAGTTCTACAAGTAGGGTTGGTGTTATTTTCTTCTTGGATTTCAACTGGTTGAGATTGAAAAGTTTTCTGTCCATCCTGTAGACAATGTCCACACATCTGGGAAGCTTCATCTTGACAAGATGAAGAATGTTAGTGATGAAGATAGCGAAAAGGGTAGGGGCGATGACACATTCCTGCTTGACCCCTATCTTGACCTCAGAGGACCCTGTCATTTTACCTTTGGTGAGGACTGTTGCCAAGACTTTGTCGTGGAGGAGACGGAGGATGTTGTTGAATTTCACTGGACAGCCAGCTTTCGACAGGATCTTCCATAGCACTTCCTGACTGACTGTGTCAAAAGCCTTGGTCAGATTGATGAAGGCGATTGATTAGAGTGATTGGTGTTAATTTTTGTCATTTCTCTTGGAGTTGTTGAGAGTGAAAATCATGTCCTAGCTGCACAGTTTGGTCAAAAGCCTCACTGGCTTTCAGGAAGGATTTCCTCAGAGACTGGGAGAAGGTGCCTAGTGAGGTTTTGGGCAATGATCTTCCTGGCAAAGCAGAAAACTCGTCAAACGGCAAAGGCGGAGGTACAAAGAAGAATGAGGGAAATCAAGAACCAATAGTGGACTGAGAAAGCTAAGGAGTTGCAACTCCTTGCTAAACAGGCATAACACCCGGGGTTCCTTCAGTGCCACCAAGTCAATATATGGACCCAACACCCTTGGCCTCAAAGAGATTCAGAATAAGGGTGGCACCCTTTTGAGAGATAGAGAAAACATCGGCCTTCGATGGAGAGAACATTTCAAAGAACTCCTCAACTATGGTGCAATCATCGATGAGGGCATGTTTGAGGAAATCCCCCAACTCCCCATCAAAGATGATCTTGGACTCCCATCTAGTGTGGCAGAAATTGAAGTCGCCAAAACACACATGAAGAATGGAAGAGCCACAGGAGTAGAACGGATTCCAGCAGTAAAACTTGGAGGAGCAGAGCTTACCTGTCATTTCCTTCAACTGTTCCTGAAAATCTGAGACAAAGGAGGGAATCTCTGCTGATCTCAGGGATGCTGCCATTACCACTGTCTTCAAGAAAGGAGACAATGTGGACTGTGGCAACTCCCAAGGAATCTGGATTATTCTGCCAGTGAGTATGAAGCTGTACAGATCTGGGACATAACCAGAAAAACCTGAAGATCCAGCAACTGAAGACTGGATTGAGGAGACCTAGGTGGATGTAATGTCCAGGAGCCTCAGCACAAGTGAGCAGGCAGTGTTTGTGATGGAACATCTGTATAGGTAAGGCTATTGGAAACTATTAAGAAGAGGTACATATGCATAAAAGACCACAGCAGATCTTTGAGGTACTGCCATGTGGTTTTGGGGAGAGCAGCAGCTTGTCACAGCTACAACAGAGGTTTTATGAGTACAAGCAAACCCAAGCGGAGGACATGGTTGCTATATCCCTGGATCTGGTGAAATTGTTTTTATCACATCATCCTCCTAGATCCCTCCTTCAATCTTTCCCCTTTCAGCTTAACCCTATGCTGTCCAGTTTTGGACTATCATCGTCTGATTGTTCAAACTGACCAGGTTTTAGCAATTAATGAACTGCCTAGCAATGAGGGATGGGAACATCCAAAATGGAATTGAGGAGGCTTAACAGTGACAAAGCTCAGGTATCTTTCTTTGAAGCGCAGGATGGGATCAGATAACCCAGATCATGGAGAAAGAGAAGATTCCTAAGATCAGGAAAGAAGTGTGACATGAGTGTGAGATGATTAACGTTTCTTCCCTCATCCGAGTTTTTGCTTTGCAGTGTTAGATCCCCTATCATGGCGACATCGACCTCCTCCTATATGTCTTCAGTTGCACATTTCATAGCCTGGGCTTTCAGGTAGCTTGTAACCTGACTAAAATGGAAGTAAAGACATCAAGAATACCTGTGGTGTTGGGGTTGAACGTGTTCAGGAATATCCCGATGTTCTTATAAATCATGTACGATCACTGCTAAGTGTAGCAGATTGAGTTTGGCAGATCATAGAATTATAGAATCCCTACAATGTAGAAGCAGGCCATTCAGCCCATCAAGTCCACATTGACCCTCTAAAAAGCATCCCGCCCAGACCTGCCCCCTTCCCTATGCATGTAACCCTGCAGTTCCAATGGCTACTTCTCCTAGCCTGCACATCCCTCCACACTATGAGCAATTTAGCATGGCCAATCCACCTAACCTGCACATCTTTGGACTATGGGAAGAAACCGGAGCATCCAGAGGAAACCCACGCAGACACAGGAGAATGTGCAAACTCTACACAGACAGTTGCCTGAGGGTGAAATTGAACCCAGGCCTCTGGCGCTGTGGGGCAGAAGTGCTAACCAGTGTGCCACCATGCAGCCAACTCGCTATGATCACGTTAGAAATGCAGTGATCATATCAGATTTACAGTGATATCTTGGACTCATAGTGATTGTGAGTACAGTTGTTGAGAACCAAGATCCGAGAGGAACTTTGCAACATCAGTGGCGTTGCTAAGAACCGCAGTACCTCCGTCATCCAGAGGGAAATGGACAGTGTGAACACTTCAACCACACTCTGGTTGACAATCTTGCACCTTGCCTGTAGGAGTAAATGAAAGTCACCTGAGTATCATCTGGAGCTGGTTTATATTTATCGTAGCACCCTGCAATCATCTGTAAGATATTCTCTTTCTCTTCTTTGGCCAAGATCTAGTCTTTACCTTGAGCCATTTCTTTGGGCTAATCACACGAGATGGCTAGGTCAATAAATGCGTGACTAAGCATCACACGAGGTCAAGCCTGGCATTTGAGATGGTGTCCAAGAAAAATGAGAGGGAAATGCTGGGAAGATAAACACTGAATGATCAAAAGACTGAGAGAACTCACCTTCCAATTGGTGCAAGTGTGTTCTTCCAAAATCAGAATATATGTGGTCAGATTCAGACAGAGAATGTATGTGATCCTGAACCCCACAGAATCACCAAGCGACTAGAGACAGGAAAGTTGTTAAACTGATAGCTGGAGGACAGCTAAGGAAAATAGAAAGAGGGTTGCTTAAGGCCAAGAGTCTGTTTGATGATGTGGAGGGAAGCAGCTCACTCAACAATGTTGGGGAGCTTGATGTGTTTGTACATGATGGCATCCAGTATGAGGAGGCTTACTCCTGCCCTGAAAAAGGGTGCAGGAAGGATCTACATCAGGTGGAAATGGAAGCAACAAGTGCTGCCAATCATACAACTCCTGGAGACCTAACCGAGCCCAATGTGGGTGACCTGCCTCAGATCCTGGATCCTTTGGCAATTAGTGATACAGTTGAGAGCCTCAGGAGGTCTTTTTGAGCAAATGCTGGTTTCAACCCAACTCTTACCATATGCTCAGATTCGTGATGCAAGAAGTGAACACTGCCATTATGTGAGCTCAAAATATTCAAACCATTATGGCGCAATTGAACTTGCTAATCGTGTAACTGCTTAGCAAACAGTGACTGTGCGCTATCTGTAGTTGGTGGGATGGCAAATTTCAAGCATGGAAGTGTGCAACAGAACCTCCTGCAGAAGGCTACTACATGAGGGAGGGAGCTGAGCAGGGAACTTGAGCAGCAGGTGGCGATAGTGAAGGAGGGCAGCTGGAGTAGTCAAATGGCCCCTCTCTGGACAATGGGGTTTTTTTTGGGGAAAGAGGGCTCGTAGGAAGAAGGAGCAGACAGACAAAGTATTCCTGAATTCTGTGTAAACTATAGGCTTCATTGTATGTGAATACTTCCTTGTAAATTTCACTTCATGTTTTTAATGCTCTGATGCCAGTGAAATAAAGAATCTCTGCTTCATAATGTTTGGGCCAAGTGTGCATTCAAATCCCATGTTAAATATACTTACACATCTTATACACAAGAGTTACTCATATATGTATGAGATCCAATTGAAATAAAATGACTGTGATATCAGCTATATAGACGCTAAGGTCTAGAATTTCCACTGTAAACTGCACCCCATCACTTTTAGGCGGCTCCTGAAACCACCTTGTGACATCACATGTATTTACCTCAACTATATCTTTTTTGGTTCAGTGTTAAATTTTTCTGATTGAAAAGAAGAGGAATAGAGTCTGCACTTCAGTCACAGCCGATGCCTATTTCCATTTTGTTCTCTGCTAATGTATTTCTCAGCTGACACAAGTGGGCAAACTGTTGATGTTTATTTTGCGGATATCACAATAATTTCTATTTTCTAAGCAATGTCATCAATTTCCAATTCATATTTTGTATTGCTGCACTGTTAAAATTAATTTTCCTTTGGTCTTGTGTCTTTCAGAGGAGCGGGCACAGAGACCCAGACTGCAGCTTAAACCTCGCACAGTCGCTGCCCCACTTAACCAGGTAGCCAATCCGAACTCAGCCATATTCGGTGGAGCCAGGCCTCGGGAGGAAAAAACTGGACATGAGGAGCCCTAGCTGGCTGGAATCATGGAAAGTTAGGCACAGCACTCTCCATCCCTACCACTCAACAGACTTCCTTTTGTCTACTCTTCCAACATAGCTGATTGCAATGGTTTCTTTCTAAGAACACTCCAGCTCATCTGTATTTAAGCGCCTGCCTGGTACCATCTTTTAGCATTGAACAGTTTGCTTTCTTCAAGTGGTAGCTCCTCCACATAACAAAAAAACAGTCTCTTAAATGGTACTTTTGAATATTGCTGTACTGAGTTTCTCAGAAATACAGATGTGGCTGCTCATTAGAACCTGATGTTTTATGGACATCTTTCTCACTAAATACTGTTGACCAACCTGCACGTAATATTCTCTGACCTAAACATACATGTGTGTGTATTTTTTAATATGTACTATATATATATATACACACACGTGAACACATTATTCACACGCACGCTCAGTGATATTTTATAGATCTAAGAATATTGCATGTCTTGGAGAGATACTATTCGAATGACACTGAAAATTCGGTAGCCATGGGATCGAGCAGTTAAGCATTCAGGAAGACATGGTGCATTTTGTATAGCCAGACACTGAGCAGTGTGCTCAGATTTTCTTCAATGACCATTCCCATTGAAGGCACACAACCATTTTTTCAACATCTTGCGCTGTGGCTCTGCTGCAGAGGAGTTCCAAACAAATGACAAACAAAAAGCGTTTTTTTTTTACCAGACCATGATCTCCTGTTGTCCTGTAAGGTCTGACAAATCTCATTTTAACTAGAATCCTCAGAATGTCGGAATTTTGAAGTCACGTTGAATGTGGGAACCTGTCGCTTTTTTAGACCATCCTAGATAATTAATGTCCCACATTTAACCTCACTTTAAGTATAAGAATTCCCAACATTTTACAAATTCTATTTCACAATATACAAAATAAATTTGACATTTTGTGAATGATTTTTTAAAATAAAAGCATAGAACCATATTCATTAACCCTGTCTCCTAATGGCTGCCATATATACCTTTTAAATGCAATTCCAATTTTTGAGCAAGATTGTGTGATTTCCCCATCCTTAGGTCTTCCATCAGTCTGTAGGAGAGAATGAGGCACAAGTGAGGGCCATACACCCATTGTCAAGTTAACTTCAGGTCTTATATCCCTGGCTTGTACTGTGTCAACAGGAATAACACTTAGAGTAGGTATTATGTTGCCCCTGTCAGATTGGGTATTGGAAGAGGGACCCTGAAATAGGGTGCATCAAATGAAAGGGAAGCAAGACTAGCAGAATCTACTGACAAAGATAAAGTAACGCTCATCTTGAACTATTGCATGCCATATATACTGAAATGTTAAACTGAACAGTTATGACATAAATTCAAAGGCAAAACATTACAAATTCAGGCAGTACCTGTGGAAAGAGAGATAGGTGATGTTGCAGATCAGTAACGTTCCATCAAAACTGGAAAATCATAGAATCTCTATAGTGTGGGAACAGACCATTCGGCCAATTGAGTCCACACTGACCCTCCAAAGAACATCTCACCCAGACCCAACTCCTTACCCCATCCTTGTAACCCTGCATTTTCCATGGCTAATCCAACTCGCCTGCACATCCTTGGCCCCTACAGACAATTTACCCTGGTCAATCCACCTAACCTGCACATCTTTGGACACTGGGAAGAAAGCAAAGCACCCGGAGGAAACCCACACAGACACGGGGAGAATGTACAAACTCCACATAGACAGTCGCCCGAGGGTGGAATTGAATCTGGGTCTTGGGCACTGTGGGGCAGCAATGCTAACCACTGAGCCACCGTGCCGCCCACCCAAAATGTTTTGGATGTTTTCACAGAGGCAGGGAAAGTGAGGAGGAGAGGAAAAAGCAAAAGACTAGGTTTGTGCTAAGTTGGAGGGCAAGAGGAATGAAATAACAAAATTGCTGATGGTGCAAGTCTAAATGAGGTGGAAATAGGAAATGTAAATGAGAATTTCTTTAGCATTTGCACAGACTGTAGAATGTACCAACATAATTAATGCAGAGTCCATCTCAAAATTTAAGAAAGGTTAGATAAATAATGAAATCAAAGGGCAACAAAGAAATTTGAGAACAGAGTAGGGACGCGCAATCAGGGTCAATGCCCATGTAGACAATAGACATCAACATGGATTGGTGGCCTTGACCAGTTGTAAATTTTATGTAATCTCTTGATCCTTGTTATTGCAAACTATTCAAAAATGTAGACAGATTTATAAGTTAAGTGAATATGCAAAAAATCTGGAAGCTGGAGTTGGAAAATGTGAAGTTGTTCACTTTGGCAGGAAAAATTTTTTTAAAAATATTAAATGGAGAATGACTGCAGAATTCAGAGGTGCAGAACAATCTTGAGTGGTCTACTGCATGAGTCACAAAAGGATACTGTGCAGGTATGACGCAGTCAGAAAGTTTAATGGGATACAAGCCATAATTATGAGAGAATCAGTTGTAAAAGTAAGAATGTTTTGCACTGATAAAACCACATCTCAAATACTGTGTGCAGTTTTGTTTTACTCAGTTAGGGAAGGGTGTAAATTGTTGGAGGTAGCCTGGAATGACTGAGTTGTTTTACGAGGAAAGTATAGACAGGGCTTGTTTATCGCTGGAGTTCGGAAGGGTGAGGCAGGTAATTTGATTGAAATTTATAAGACCCTGAATAGTCTTGGCAAAATGGATGTGGAAAGAATGTTTCCTCTTGTGTGTGAATCGAGAACTGGAGGTCATTGTTTTAAAATTTGGGGTTGCGCTTTTAGGATAGAGATAAGGAGATTTTTAAAAATCTTATAGTGTTGTACAACTTTGGAACTCTCTACTTCAGAATGTGGTGGTGGCATGGTTAATGAATATTTTTAAGGAGGAGCTAGTTAGTTAGATTCTTGCTCGGTATGGGAATCAGGTTATTAGGAGTAGATGGGAATGTGGAATTCAGAACACAAACAATGACTATGATCTTATTGAATGGCGCAGTAGGCTTGAAGGGCTGAATGGCCCATTTCTGTTCTTAATTCATACATTTGTATGTATATAATAAATGGATAAACAGTATAATTTTGCATGCAAAGGTTCATTTAACCAATAATTGTGCTACATTATGGAAATACATGTATTTAATCAACCAAAACTTCACTATCTTTGAGAAGATTACGTGCAGGTTTGCACCCCTAACCCATCATTTAGTGGTCTCCTTTTCAATATATGTCACAGGCCTCCACCAGTGCTACTTGCACTAAAAACATTAGGAGGTGGAAAATTTAAGACTGCGAATGAAGCACTTTTTCTCTGGGACCTCTCTGTGTGGGCCTACTTTGCTTCTTATCTCAACTGTTTAGCTTTAGTCTTTTTAGCTGGTATTTGTGCTCATTTCTAACATTGCTACGAACCTAGTTTTCATCCACTCTACTTTTGAGTTGATAATTCTGAGCATTGATAATTATAAACTGGAGGAAAAAGATTGATAGGCCTGAAATTCTGATTTTTTTAAAAAATGGCGATAAAATTAGTATCACAATCGAACATTTGCGATACGATTCATTTATGCGATAATCGGATTTGCGTTATCAGTTCCAATGGAATTCACTGATGACATTAGATAGTCCTCGCCTGTGTTAGTGACAGCCTTTCAAGGGTCAAAGCTGCTTCCTCAGTAATTCCAACTCTTGAACCAGAACGTCATCTTACTTAATGGTGAAAGAAAGAGGAATGGGTTATCTGCATCACTGCCAAACAAAGAAGTTGCTCAGGTCATGGGCTTTGAATTCAGAGACCTTGTCTGATACATCAGTTTTCAGTGAAGCGATTAGAAAAATCTTCCCAGCTCTGATACTAAAAAAAACATTGTGCAAGCTGCCTTCCAGAAATTTCAGGCGGAGAGATCTTTTGCAAGTTCCTTCTTCTGCCTTGACCATGGGATTGCCTTGCCCAAGTATCCTAATAGAGGAAAACACAGCAGGAGAAGGAGAAAGAGACAAGGCACGGAGGATAAGGCTACGCCAAAGGAGAAAGACCTTCTTTGAGGTAGGTACTATTTCAAAATTTGCCATGTCTTCGATCAAAACTTTAAGTTATAACCTGCCAACTTTATATTTTTATTAGCTTTGTTTGACTTGCTGTGATTCACAGATACTAAATCCTCTGGTTCCTTAACCAAGGTCCATTACTCGTGTATGTGCTGTGGCAGTTTCCATGGGCTCAATGATGTGTGTTGCAATTTATAGCCAAACGCGGGCCTGTTCTTAGTCCTTCTCCAAAGTGTTCTCCTTCCAGTAGGAGGCAGGGGTTTACAATTGTTGAGGAGGGAACGTTGGTTGATTTTAGCTGTATCTTGGCTTCAGGGCACTGTGGTTAATTAGGTCCAACTATTGACACCATTGATGGCAGTTCATTCAATGTAATCTGTGCAGAGAATCATAGAATCCCTACAGTCCAGATAGAGGCCAATTGGCCCATTGAATCTGCACTGACCCTCCGAAGAGCATCCCACCAGACCCAAAACACCAACCAACACCCCCCCAACCCAACATTTACCGTGGCTAGTCCATGTAGACCACACATCCCTGCACACTATGTGGCGACTCTGCATGGCCAATCCACCTAACCTGCGCTACTTTGGACTGCAGGAGGAAACTGGAGCACCTGGCAGAAACCCACACAGACGCGAGGAGAACATGCAAACTCCACGCAGACAGTCACCCAAGGCTGGAATTGAACCTGTGTCCCTAGGCACTGTGAGGCAACAGTGCTAGCAGCTGTGCTACCATACTGCCCATTGTTCTTAAACAGTGTCCCTACCACTGAGCCAGGAGGTCTGAAATCAAGTCCCACCTTGTATGTATTGGCTGCCATGTCATTCATGATGGTATCCATTCTCAGAGAGTCATCAGTGAAACTGAAACACAATCTCACTCAAAGATTTATTGTATTTATGGGTTTGCTGTACAATTTTGTTACACGATACTTGAAGGAAAATGCAATAACATTAATGGTATAGTCAACGGAAAACTAAAGGCACCCAGGTAATTCAGTCCTTCAGACTGCTATCCTGCCTTCAGACAGGATGATATTGCACAGAGTCATGACTCAGTGGCACTGTTGCTACTGAGCAGATTCAAGCCCTCTTTCAGAGACTTTGGTGCAAAATCAAGTGTGAGGCTTGCCTGAGTGAGCGAGTGCTACTCTGTCAGAGGGTTCCACCTTTCAGATGAGACAACAAGCAGAGTCACCATTCTATCAGGTGGTTGCAAACAATGCCACAAATTTATTTGAAGAAGACCAAGCTGTGTCTTTGCAAAAATTTATTCTTCAGAAAAACTGAAACAGGTCATCATCTGGTCATTTGTTGTGTAGGTGGGGAATTTGCCATGTGCTGTGTCCTGTATTTGCTACATGACAAAAGTGACAACGGCTCAA